TACTTATTTCTGGGTTCGCCGATCAACCGGTTCGTGGGGACCGCCGCGAACCGCCTGAAACCCACCCCTGGGGTGTAATCGAGGCAACAGGCTGTCCCATGTTTGAAAATGTCCTAAATCGGTGTGCCTCAACCCTCCTTGTGTGCCCAATTGCACTTGGCCAAGAAAGAGTATTCTATTCTCTCAGTTGAGCCCAACTTTTCTGTTGCTAAGCGAGACAGTTGTTAAGAGGGATTTGCCCCGTTTTACAACCTTTCTTTCTCACTGAAGTGAATCACTGCAGTTGTTAAGTTAGTAACAGCTGTTAAGCAAATCTCGCTTCCCCATTCACTTTGCTTATCAGAAAGTCAAAAATGATTGTAAATTTAAGACAACTTTTACCATCTTTTCATTTTTGTTGTGTTGGATCAGGGGGTGTCAAACTCGAGGCCCGCGAGCCGGATCCGGCCAATGAGGTGCTTAAATCTGGCCCGGAAATATCAAAGGATGAGAGCCTTCTCTGTGGCTGCTCCGACCCTGTGGAATCAGCTACCCCCAGAGGTCCGGACCTCACCCACCCTCATGGCCTTCAGAAAAACTGTTAAAACCTGGCTGTTCCGGCAGGCCTGGGGCTGTTGACCTTATTATGTAGGGTCCAGCCCCAATCTGAACGTATGCGTGTTGGAGAATTTTTAAATTTTTATTTTTATTTTTGTTTTTCTTTTCTTGTTCTGTGTAAGCCGCTCGGAGTCCTCCGGGATTGGGCAGCCTATAAATCTAATAAATTAAATTAATTAAATTAAATTACTGCTGGGGGCTGGGGGGGGGGCAAAATTGAGCAAAAAATGGCCTGCTTTTCACTCATTTCTGCCCTCTCTGGCCCCTAGGAGCTCTCTGAAAGCCTTCTACAGGCTCTGCACGGCCATTTTGGTGAAGGGGGTGGGGTTTTGGGAGGCAAAAAATGCTGCATTCAGTGTACAAGACACACTCAGATTTTCAGCCTTTTTTTTTTTTGAGGGGAAAAGGTGCGTCTTATACTCCGAAAAATACGGCAGCTCTGTTGAGTCATCATCTTTTCTTGGCAGTGATGTTCCTGAGCAAGAAACCTAAGGAAAAGGATTTGGAACCCAAAAGCCAAGTGATCGAAGGGATCACCCGCCTGATCTGCACAGCCAAGCATCAAAACACCATGTTGCGTGGTAAGTGGGTCAGCTCAAAGTTTTCCAGATTGGGACCTATCATGGCAGAGTTCTCCTTCTACTTGACAAGGTCAGAGAACAGGTCTCCATGTGGCTCTGCCAAGTTTTTCCCCTGGTTTCCCCAATCTGGTGACCTCCAGATGGATTCCAGTCTCCATATATCTATCTCTCAGTTTGAGGAAGATACTTCACAAAAAAGCTCGGGTTGAAATCCTTCACCAGCACCATCATGCAGTGTGTATATAATATGGCTCTTTTCGCCCTTCACACATGCCCCAGAGTTTGACCTAGATATTTATCCTGCCTTTACCGCTCCTAGAATGATCGTGGTCTGTCATCTTTCTTACAGTTTGTATTGATGGTGTGGAGTGGAATGATGTGAAGTTTTTCCAGCTGGCTGCACAGTGGCCAACGCACGTCAAACATTTTCCAATTGGCATCTTTGGCTACTCAAAGAGTGTGTGATATGAAACAAGCCGTATGGAAGAGTCCGGGCTCTGCCAGATAGACCAGGAGGAGGAGGAGCATTCCTTTGCTTCTGAAGACTGACTGCCCATACAGAGCCGACTCTGTCAAGGGCTCTACTTGCTCCATTTGTTCCGTGCAGGGAGCATCCCGATTTGCTTTATGTCTCACCCATGAGTTTTTTAGTTTAACGTGAACTTGGGTTGTAGGAAAGGGAAGGAAGACAGGTGCACACACAAAAACACAAGAGAGAAATGGCTTTTCAACACAGACTCTTGAGACTAGAATATCAGGCCTGTCTTCTCTGTTCAGGTGACATCAGGAATGAAAGAGGCTGAGCAGGGTTGACTAGCTTCCCAAGTTGCTTGTGGAAGGTGGGACAGAGTTCCTTTCCATGCCTTGTCTAGCTGGCTTGGGCAAGAAATGGGAAGGCAGGTCTTCTTTTAACTTGCTGCTACCTTGTAAATCTCTAATGGGGAAAAATGTGTGTTAAGACCCTTTTCCTAGAATTGCTTAGCCAGGCTTGCCCAGAAACGTCCTGGACCAGTTGACCTCTGCCCACAAGTGCCAATTGGCAGTCCTCTGTCTCAGAATTCACCGAGGGCTACGGCATCTTGCAGTTTCTTTTTAACATGAAGCCACTTTTCCCTGTCTCTCCTCTTATTTGGAGTGGAGCTGGCATCGCTTGACTTCTCACACAATCGGAATGTGTAGAGCAGAGTATCTAACACAAGACTAAGGGGTTGACAACTGAAGACGAGCATGATTTCTGCATCTGCTCCAGAGGCTGCTTAACAGGAGGTGGTATACGAGCCATTTTGTGTTGTTCTTCCCTTGCTCAAACTGTTTTCAAGGAAGCAGCTAGAGGAACTCTTTCCTCCATTCATCAGCTGTGAGCACAACAGAAAGAGATGGCACAAAGCTGCAAGGAGAAAATGGTCCAGCCTGTGCCATGAACCATCAGGCAAGAGTATTCTTTTTCCAGCCAAGTAAAGGGAAGAATCGTAGAATAGATTCTGAATGAACACCCTTTCAATAAAATAGAGGAGAAAAACCTTTGCTAAGCAGTATTGGGGAGGGGAAGAGGGAATGGGGCAGGGAGGCTTAAGTCCTTCTTCAGAGTAAGGAAATGTATCTCGAGGGAGGAGATTAGGCCATTTTCTCCCCAGAAGTATTTTAGCTCTGCGTAAATGTTGCATATTTGTTTTCTTTGCCTGTACCACACTGCTGTGCCCTGCTGTATAGGTAAGGTCAAGTACTAATATCTAAAGCTCATGGAAGTGGTGGGGCAAGCTGGGCCCCTCCCACCTCTATTCAGACGAAGAAAAAGGTGCTCTCGTGTGATGGAACCGGCTTATGAATCAAACACACTCCATTTGTAGCCAGTAAGAGTGCTCCCTTCCCCCTTTCCCCAGATCAGCACTTTGCCTGGACAGGTCTCAGGGTAGTTACTACATCCACAAGTTGTATCCAGTTCCACCTTTGCTGTGTTGTTGTAATAGATCTGTGGCACTGGTAGACTGATGAAGCTGGCAAGTATGAGATCCACTGGCAAGGTCAGGTGCAATGATATGCAGGGGTGTGGGGGATAGTCACAGACCTTTAGAAATGCTAAAGGGGAGATCGAACAAGCAAGTTTGGAAAAACACAGTGAGTGTCAGAAGGCAGCTACTAGTGCCTCCTTTCCTTCCCTAGCTGGATTCACAAATGTCCCCATCCATTCTCTTATCCCTAAATCATGCAGGCTCCGAAGGCCAGGACCTCTACCTTCCTGGAGCTTGTGTCACTAGAACTGCCAAACCAACATCCCCTGCCTTGAAAGTGTGTCCTACCGAACTTAAGAGACCTAAACTGTGGTATTGCGCCTGCCTGGCGAATGCAGCTGCTCGTGGTTAGGAGAGCAGGGATGGTGGGTAAATCCCATTTTTTACAAGATTCTATTTTTGTTAATGTAAGGTTGCTTTCTGGATTAATTTTAATAAATTAATGCTGGTACCATTGTGACTGAGAGCATCAACTTGATTTTATTCTGCTTGGAATTGCATCTTCTTTGTGATTTAGAGGCGCAAAGCACCAGTCAAAGGATTTCACAAGTTAAGAGGTTCTTAGTTTTGGATTGGCTTGAATACTTGAGGCTCCCTCGCCCCACCTGAAATAATCTTTAAAAGTATGGTGAACTTAAGAAACAGACATGAAAGGGGGGTGGGGTGTCAACCAGAAGAAAACAGCACAATTCAACTGGCAGCTTCAGGTCTTTTGTGTGCAGTTAAGCAACTCTACTGTCCACCTACTGTGCCTATGTTGGCATCCCTATTCATTGACTGGGAACACAGTAAAAATATGGCCAGTTATCCTAGCAGCTCTTGACAAGTGAATGACTATATTTACCCCATTATATTTCCTTGTCTGCTTCTTTATGAACCAAGATGACATGATCTTTTTGAGAGCATTTAGTCTTGAACTCTTTGCCAAGACATGGCAAGATCAGGATAAGAATTACAATTAATGTGGCCGCTTCCCATGTTTTAATGAATATTCTTTACCTTTAAAATTACAATTCAACATTTTTGAATGGACTCTTAAGAGCTAAAGAAAAACCTTTTTATGAAGCTCAGTAGACTCAGGCTTACATACAATTGTAGCTCTATAAAATCATCGAGCATCACTAGGAATCAGCGTATAACTTTCATGAATAATAATAATCATAAGTTTTGCACAATAGTGAAAAGCATAATGAAATCATTGCATCAATTGTAGACAATCGGTGACTATGGAGATATATTCGCCTCCTTTCATAATTGACTGTCCTCAAACTGTTGGGATAGCAGTCTATCTATCTGGGCAGGGAGGAGAGAAAGAGAGAAAGAGAAGAAAGAAGGATGGAGCAGGATGTTCCAATCTTTTGATTGCACGTTGCCTGCACAATTATGATTCTGTTGCCAAATGAATGCAGTCCTCCTTGGGGAAAAATGCAGCCTATTTCTGCTATCTTTATTGATGTAAAAATATAAGGTAATTAAAACACATATCTAATATTTAAATTTCACCCCTTGCACACAGAATATGATTTGTGTGGCAAGGGAGGTAGGAAATGTTTTGAAGGAAAGCCTACAGTATTTTCTTTTTAAAATTAAATCCTGGAGGATTTTGCATTACAAATGAAGGCAAATATAATAATGTTGCAGGATCCAATCTGGGTTGGTCACCAAGGCCAGAGGTTTAGTCTTTTACACTAAATCATATTACTCTCCAATTCAATCACCTGTAGTCCCTTTTTGCTTCCTCTTAGCCCAATCCTATTCTGTGGTGGAACTGCATATTACTAAAAAATATTTGCAAAGGAAAGAAAAGTATGTCAAGAAAAGAACAACTTGAGTGGGAAGATACAAAATGAAAAAGGTCTGTTGGCCATAAAAGAATTAACCATATATGTACAGCTAAAAGTTGCTTTTCATAAATGTTAAATACTTACAATTCTTCTACCAACTAAAGAATTCTCTTTCCATTCTGTGATTGTGGAAAATGGGAATATGTGCAAAAGGTTTCCCAGAGCATACAAAGTAAAGCAGATCCTATTGTTTTTAATTTATTGAAGGTGGGAGTGGGGCTGTTGGGTTTGTGGGCCAGAACCACTAGTTTATGCTATTTCATGCACAATTCTGGCTGTAATTCAAAAAGCCACATTCTCTATATTGCCAAATTTGTCTTTATTTGGAATTTGGCAATTGATGCTTTTCCAAGATTTTGGATAAGATATAGAAAAGAATTGAAGTGGAAGGCAGCTGCGTTAGGTAATTAGGTAGCTCAAAATATAAACCATGGAAATGTTAGCATCAGAAATATTGCTGAGCAGGAACTTGCATTTCTCATTTTTACATCTCAAGCAATCTACTGCTATAGGGGGGAAAATAAAGAGTCCCCAACCAATCAGTTGCCATAGTGAAATAAGCAACTACTTGCTCATAATGTGCAAAATGCAAGTAGGTAAATCATCTGAAATTGTATGCCTCAAATAAAATAATAAAAAATGAATAATTTTCTTAACTTCAAGGTTAAGGAAATGGAACAGGTACATCATTTTTTACTTGGATCTAAAACTTCCTTTCACCCAATCTTTATCAACTATTATTGGGCAGGGATGCAAGGGTCTAAATAAAAACCCAGGTGATAATAGAAATGCTAAAAGCTTATTCTTTACTAAGGACCGAAGAGTGTTTTTTCTAGGTAAATGAACATGGGTTACAAAAACACACTCGGTGTTGTAGAGAAGGACTGCAAATAAATAGAAAAAGTTTGCTGCCTTAAGGCAGGGGTGTCAAACTTGATTTCATTGAGGGCCGCATCAGAATTGTGTTTGACCTCGTGGGGCGAGAGTGGGTGTGGCCAGTTCAATGTCACTCCTGTCAGGGGCACCTATGGTGGCCCAAGCACTATGCCAGCGAAAATAGGCTCCAGAGCTCCATTTTCAGCTGCCACAGCCTCCTGCAATCTCTGGCAGTAAAAACAGAGCTCAGGAGGACTGCCAGAGGGTTGCAGGAGGCTGTGGCAGCCAAAAACAGAGCTCGGGAGCCCATTTTTGCTGGCAGAAGACCGTGGACCAGAGCCAAGGTGGCGCAGTGGTTAAATGCAGCACTGCAGGCTACTGCTAGATCAGCAGGTCAGCGGTTCAAATCTCACCGGCTCAGGGTTGACTCAGCCTTCCATCCTTCCGAGGTGGGTAAAATGAGGACCCAGATTGTTGGGGGCAATATGCTGACTCTCTGTAAACCGCTTAGAGAGGCCTGAAAGGCCTATGAAGCGGTATATAAGTCTACTGCTATTTGCTGTTTCCAGGGCGGCCACGCAGGCCAGATCTAAGTATCCCGCAGGCCGGATGCACAATTCTGGGGCCTTGAGTTTGACACCCCTGCCTTAAAGTAAGAGTCATGCATTAATGACTCTATAAAGAGGATGGATGGATACCAACCATCCATCGTATATCAGGAGGAGGTTTCAACTACGTCCTGTGGCAGTCTGAAAATAGGCAGATACACATGGGTGAGTGGTGGATGGGGAGAATGTTTTGAACTGTCTGGCTTTAGAATGGAGCCACCTTGCTCAAGCTGTAGAGAAAATATATGTGTTGAATTATTCCTGAGGTCATGTTCCCCCAACTGCAGCCAGGCAGTGGAAGAACAGAGCTAGTTCTTTTCAGGAAGAGGGGAAAAATTATTACCGGAAAACGTCTCTGTGCAACACTTGGTTCAGTTTTTTCCCCCCAGCTTTTAATGTTGGAGCATTCAGTTCTACATGTGGAAAACCAGCAGGAAGGACAAAACACAAGACACTCCCTACAGCCGTATTAACCACAAACCAGTGCTTTTACAAACAGCTTTTAGGCTTACCTTCTTAGCTTGTCACACACCCACACCAATTTTATCTAAATGTAGAAAATGTCTGTTTCTTCTCCATACAAGGCATACTGGGCACTTTTTTGATTTGCACAGTCTGAAATACTACTTGAGGCTGGTTCTTTGGCACCGCTGGAGTTGGACTATCCACACATACATATTGTAAAAATTGTGGAAAATTTTCTTGGCGCTGGACAAAGCCCTGATTTAGCAAATACAAGATACAAGCGAGGACATCCGCACTGCTGCAGACGTTTCCCAAGAAGTCTGAAGGTGATCCATGCCTCTGTTTGTGGAAGGCATCGATTACCTGGAAGAGGCAAAAAGCATGAATGGAATTACAGGTAATCTTTGGGTTATGACCACTCACTTAGCGACATTCAAAACTATGATGGCTTTGAACCAGGGTGACTGAACACGAACTGCAGCTGTTGCAATGTTCTCATAATCTAATGTTAAGTGAATTAGGTGCTTGGCAACCAGCTCACAATTACAACAATTGCAACATCCTGCAATCGCATGATCCACCATTTCCAACTACCCCTCCTGGCTTCCCACAAGCAAAGTCAAGGGAAAAGCTGGCAGGAGGTTGCAAGTTGCTCTCGCCCCTTTTTCAACTGCCCACCAGCACTCCATAGTACACCTACCCTTGGCACCCACTCTGCCTCCTACAGGACCTGCCTCCTCCGCTGCCGTCAACTCCCGCCCTGGCCTACTTGCCTAGGATTCCCACCTATTCCCATGTTGCGATCACATGAGGTCCTTAGTTAACATCCTGCGTGGGCCTGGGGTTACATTGGCAACCGGAATTGCCACCATTGCCATCACTAAGCAATGTCATGTGACACTGCACTTTATCACCATATCACTTAGCAATGGAAATTCCAAACTCAGTTGCCAGTTATAGTGTATCTTTGGATTACCAACTGAGATGACTAATAGGGTGAAATCCTTGCAATCTATACCTTGAATACCAGGCTGTTGATATGCATCTCCTTCTCCTCCTTCAGGATCTGGTTGAGGAGGCAGCAGATGAAGTTCCTTTTTTCCTCCAAAGCAGGGCATACTTTTTCTTCCACATTCAGGTACATCGTTTTGGGCAAGAGGCACAGACGCTGACCAGACACATGGCCTAGTACCTCCTCATTCAGTCTTAAAATACCTAGCAAAGGAGACTCAGCCTTAGAGAAGCAGAATAACTAGCCAGAAAGCTCTCTGGTTTCACAACAGAAGCTGGTAAGCTAAATGCTCCATATGTTCAGCCGAAAGTCAAGATTTCCACCCAACATACTAGAGTTAATCTTCCAAAAGGACAAAATCCTCTCTTTCTTACAGAATATTCCTCCCCACTTACTCTGTCTCTGGGAGAGGATCCCATTCTTCTTTGTCAGGGGTTTCAGTGCATGACCTAGGAAGACACGGGAGAGACCTGTGACTTCTAATAGTGTCTCCACAGAAACTTCCTGAAACCAATAGAAGAAAAAATAGTTGAGTATGCAGAAAGAGATAGGAGAATGCTGTGACATGTAGTCTTTAAGTCTATTCTGAGAGAGATTGTAAGTGCAATGAAATTCCCACTTTCAAGACTGATTAGTGCAGTAAATCCTGACAAAA